CCAGCGCAGGAAGACAGAAATGGCCCCCCAGGCTCTAATACTTCGTGCACCTTGGACGCGTGGCGCTGGAAGGCGTCGTCTGGATACCCAGAACGAATAATCCAGCTTAAACTACGGGGGAACGACCGGGATTTTGTCCTCCGTTTAACTTCAAGAAACTATCCTAGCGTTCGTAAAAAACGTTCGATCCTTCTTCGAACTTAAACGGGGACTAGAGGAGTATAGGAATCGCCATTTTGGTATTGGCGCGGAGGAGAACAATCGAACGGAAGGTAATTCGCGTTCCTTTCTCTTCATTCGAAACATAGTACTTCGTCGTGATTTATTTGGACGTTAATTATTCGAATTAGATGACCAACATCCATCGATTGCCGCTGGAAAAATTGCTCGTCGACGATAATAATCCAACAGTCCTCGTTTCGTATTCCACGCTTGGAAATCGTGCCCCCGGCGAAAGAATTTCAATACCTGTCCGTTCGTCCCCATTAAATCCAGAACGATGCATTCTTGCAAATATAAAAGACAATAGCTCCTTCGTCGGGGCGCATCGAACTGTATTTACAATTCAAATCCATTAATTAGACATAGTCTCGCGGCGATAAATCGATTCTTACCGAGAAAAAGAATAACGCGAAGACTCCAGAGGAGGGAGCTTTCGACGGTGCGGTAAAATTGAAAATTAAAATTTATGATTGCATTAAGCGGCTTAAGCGCGACACCGGCTGCGCCAAAGGAAACTTTCGAAACAATGTCGACCGGTCGACGGTACGAATAATTACATGGTCAACCTATTTTTTCTCGCATTCTTTTTCCTCTGCCTTTTCAGCGGCCTGCGAACTCTCGCAAACAGTAACAGAATTTTTTTAACTTTGTTTCGTAAGTAACGAAACAGCTAATTTCATAGCTATTTTACTCCGAATATTTCTAATCGCGAATTCGCCAGAATCAAAACTTAACCTAGCGAAGAATCATTGTTGAAAAGCGAATAACCAACGCCAATAACCCATTAAAACCACCACGAAGTCGAAGATTAAAGACTTCTCACAAGGATCCCCTTGAAATTTAATGCACGATCTTTTTAACATTTTGTTCCACTTTGAAGGAGTGTGTCTACAAACATGAAGCTACAAAAAACTCTCCACATAATTGTCGTGCAGTCACCATATTTTCAACGCAATTTCGACCAGCCATGAACGTCGTGTACCATTTTGTTCGTGCTCGTTGCGTCTTTGCAACTCGGTTGTGAATGACTTGATTATTGTAAATCGCGGAGATGCTTTTCAGAGAGCAGCGTTACCAACACGAATCACGCGCGCCCAGTTTCGTGCATCCGTATTCTCCATAGTTATCCAGTTCATTACGGCTTGAAGGATTACGAATTCGTCGGAAAGTTCCGCGCCCAGCCTCGCGGATTAATGAACCTCGTCCGACGAAGATTCTTCAGACTCAAACCACGATTGCCCGCGATTCCCGGGAATAACGAATTCCGTTTTCATTTTTCACGACGGAACTTTCCTTCTCCGGATTCCGCTGGCCGCGAGGCTATTGGAAAACTCCCCGCGAGCGGATACGATGACGTGTTCTTCTTAAAAAGCTCCATCGACGTTCGATTTAATAGTCTGGACCGTTAGAATTAACCCGAGAACACCTCGGGGAATTCTCTCCCCGCTGATCGATGGGAAAATTGTCTCCGGTTCGGTCGTCGAAATTCTGCCAACCCCGGCAAAACGAATCGCGATCGTAAATATCCACCGATAAAGATATTTTATTTCGTCCAGCTTCAAAAATTTGTCACGGGAAATAACCATCTGAATTGTTTTTTAATTGCTTTTATACCTAATGGAGTACTCGATCCGTTTTACAGTAAATAAATGATTCCTCTAAAAGCAGAATCGCGTTAGATGAGTTCCAAGAGTGGGAATAGTTTATATTTATCTCGCGATTGGTACAATAGGTTTGCAAGGTCCGACTGATTTATAACTGAAAAGTCTTGCAAAGAGGTCCGAGCGGATCCAGCGGCGAAGATAAAAGACGGAGGTCATAGAATTTAATCAACCTGAGGTGTTTGACGTCATTCGAGAGCCCGCTGGTGATTGGTTACACAGTTCTACGCTTAACTGAATTAAGACTTAGAGGAGCTTAAGCCGGATTAAAGCAGGATCCAGCGGAGGCGCGAATCATCCGGAGAGCCACTTATCGTCCAGCGCGTTCCATTCGCTTTTTTCCCCCGAAGTCTGGCTTCCCGAGGCGTTTTTCACAAAGTCAGCGAAAAAGCTCAACGATCTTGTCGCCTCTGTCGCGTCGCGAGTCGACGTTTTACAACTAGAAGTACGAAATTACGAACGTGTTACAGCGATGAGAAACGTACGTAATCCTGATGGAACGTACAAAGTCTCAAAAACATCTCCAGAATTCATGTTTCGCCTCTCTTTAAGTGTCTTTTTCATTTGAAGAAGATCGATCGCGATGAACAGATCCTGGAGTGCTTACCGGAGAAAAATAATAAACTTCAGCGTGGAAATAATTTAGAACTTCAAAAGAGAAATAGATTTAAATCTTTCCCGATGAAGGATATACAAGCTGATCGGTGGGAAGAGCAGTGGGAATAATAGCGTTTCGTCGTAGATCCGCTGGAGAACTCATCAGTAAGGCTATTCCAGCTGAACGTACGACGTGACTCTCGGTTGGAAACAGGTTGACATAAGAGAAGGCTCGGTTGTGGGTGAGACACCACCATCTTCTGACATAATGCACACGTACATATGTATGAACCAATCTTCGCGACAGCGGAGGGAAATTTCGAAGTTGTAATATAATTTAAAAATGGATGATTGCGGAGGGGAACGCAATTTTAATTTATTTTAATTTCTACAATCTCGTAGAAAGTATAACTGTAATTTAAAGAGGAAGAGACAGGAGACGAGGTAAGATAAAAATTGAAAATTAAAAATGTAAACACGAGTACCACGAGGAATCTCGGGTTCGAGGAAGATCAGTGGTGGTCGTAGCTGTGGAGAGGAAGTTTCGTTTTTATTGCATTTATGAAACTGTGTGTACACTGACCGACAAAGGCGACGAATCGCAGCGCTTAGAATGGACGTGAAACTGAGAAGGAACGATAAAGACGCTCCTCGAGAAGAGATTCCACATTTATACGCGGATGACGTTTAAGTCCTTTATTGAGGTAGATGGCAATATCCGGCCGCGGTAGATACGTTTCTTCTCGATAACGGGAACATCGCGCGCGTCGTTTTATTGTAAACGAACGATAATAGTAGAAGAACGACTACCGAAGTTTTCAATATCCATTTATTCCATTTTTACCGTGTCTCGTTTTCCCCGCCTTCGGGTATTCAAATGAGACGAAGTCGAATTTATAACCGACGGTCTGCTATAGACCGGTAATACTTGAAATACAAGAATAATAAACGCTGTATTACTTTCAGTTGTTCCGAGGAACGCAAAATGAATGCTCGAAGCGATCAAATTTTCCCAATCATGTTTTCGTTCGATCGATGTTTGATAAAATGAAACTGACGAAGGCGGAAGGTACTTTCCATTAACTGATCAAAATCTTAGCGAATTACTCGTAAAAATTACTCAAGTTCGATGTTAACTTTTCACAGAATATAGGCTTCGATGGCATTTTTAAAATAGATATAATTAAAAAAAATCGCAAGGATTGCTCGACGACGACTATAAGAATTCCAATTATTATTCCCCCGGAAAAGTATTCAAGAGAAATTACCCGCGAAACAGCTCGTAAACGCATTTTCCGCCCAAGAACCGACGCTTTATAGCCTCCGCGATGTTTCATGAAACCGCAATGTCGCTCGAAGACCAAGGCAGGCGCTTATTCTCGTTCATGCGACGCGCCGTGTAATTTTACGATTGTCATAAAGTGCAACTTTACTTTTCCGCTTAAACCGCGAACTCGAACAGTGGTCGAATCGAGTTTGCACGGATCAAGTATCGGAATAACTGCCTTCTAAAGACGAATAGAGCGTCAGTTATTGGCGGGTAGATTTCCAGAAAAAAATTCTAAAATACTACGAATCATTATTAAATATTAAATGTCTTAGCTTTGCAAGAGCCTTCTGCTCTGTTGCAACTGTGTCGGTCCAACTTTGATTTCAAGGTACTTGAAAACTTCCTCGCATGTTCCTTCGAGGATCGAGTGGCGTACACTCGTAATCGTCCATTTTTAAACACACTAACGTAATCGAAGATCCAAACTATTCATTTATTTCGTACCTTTCCCTTTTCCAATATATTTCATTTGCTCGAGTAACAGAATTTTCGTACCTAAATCTGTTTTATGTCTCGCTAGCCACCCAGGCTAGAGAAATAAGAAATGATTTTGTTCTCGAGGACGTAAGCGTCTCGTGGATATCTTTCTGATTGAAGTTCTTGTTCTCCGATAAGGAGCACACCTATCGATAGCATAAGTCATCATGGAAACTGTGTCAGCGATGACTCGGTGCGAGCCCTGTCTCGTACTAAGCCACGCAATCCGTTTGCTCCTGTTTTTCAGATAGCACCGGCGGCATGAATACACGAGACTGGTTACGAAGTGCCATTCGCAGAGTGCGCGATCTCGAACGATTCGTCAAGATCGCGCCCGACAACGTTCAAACTTTGTGCATGGGGCCGTAGTGTATAGAAGAAACGAAACAAAAATAACACAGAGACACAGTGACGATACATCGTACAGTGTGTGGTTTGATAAACGCGCGAAAAGAGTGAAGAATAATCGAGGACAATCGACGATGGAGATCGTCATTGGGGACGGTGCTTCTCATCACCGTTCGACTTCCCAAACGTCGAAGATCTCCGCGAGATACATAAAGAAACGCCGTTCGTGTTCGTTCTCGGGCCACAAGGAAGATTGCAACTCGCTTGGCGCGCGATGAATCCCCCCGGGTATCGCAGCGAGCCTAAATCGGGTCGGAACGTGGAAGCATAGGCGACGCGGGTGAGTCATAGATTGCGTTATCGTTACGCAAACTTCATGAAAATGGACTCGACGAAGCTGAGCGGGCCAGCCCCGGCCAGCCCGAGGGCGCATTCGCCGGCAGTGCCAGCGTACGGGGCCACCGCGGACGGCAACATCGACTACATAATCGGGGATTACATGGAAAGACTCGGAACCAGGCTGAACATACTCGAGACCGAGCTTAAGTACGCGTGGAGGGCATTGGATCTCCTCAGTCAAGAGTACATTAAAATGTGGGAGCGGCTGGAGAAGCTGGAGGGTCTCCTCTACGAACAACAGACGGTGATCAGCCAGCTGATCGAGTTCTACGCGAGCGGCGGCAGCCACGAGACCACCAACACCGTGGAGGAGACGTTGGCCAACCAGCAGAGCACCGTGGGCGAGCTGGACGCGATTGCGAAGACCATAGGCACCTCGATGAGCATCGAGGAGACGAACGCGCTCAGGGAGAAGCTGGCACAGCAGGAACTGGCGAGGATGCATGGTCTGGCGCAAGAGAATACAGCGGCTGCAGCCGCGGTCACCGACATCCACAGGAACGTCCGGAACCTGGAAGCTCTGGAGACCCTCGAGGAGGAGTGCAACATCCCCGACGAGGCCTTCTACAGGAGCTTGAACAACGCTTACAGAGAAGACTTGATCTGCGGCGACACGTCCAGGCCCACGTCGCAGTTGGGGATGATCTGGGAGGAGGCCGAGGACGAGGACCTGAACGGAAAGAAGGACGCGGAGATCTTCGAGAAGACCGCGACGAAGGAGACGGTGGTCGAGGAGCTGACCAGCAAGCCTACGAAGGAGGAGCTGCAGGAGTCGGTGACGAAGAAGGAGGATGAGGCGGACGAGGACGAAGGCGAGGTGTTCAGCGCGGCCGATTACAAGAGCTATCGGGGGAACACACCCTGCGTCAGCGAGCAGGACCTTGCCCAACTGTCCAGGCTCAGCTCCATCGACCAGGTCGCCCTGGAGAAGCTACACGAGCTGGACAGGCTGACCAGCAAGCTGCAGAAGGACTCGCAGAACCTGATAGAGCTACAGTCCAGGCTGATGGACTCACCGAAGAGACAGTACAGCTCCGAGGCCGAGGCAAAGCTGGCCGAGGAGGCGAGCAGCATAGACGAGCAGCTCAGAAAGATTTACGCGGAGACCGACGTGGACAGCTGGACGTTCTCCAAGAGTCCAGGTTCCACGGGCAGGTCGATCTCCAGAGTCAGCACCGACAGCGGCCTGGCCACCGACGGCGACTTCACCACCAGGTCGATCTCGCCCAGACTTACGTCCACATCCAGGACGAACCTAGACTGCATCTCGAGCACCTACACTCCGCCCAGGCTGGCTTACAGCGCCACCGTCAGAGAGAAGAGTCCGGAGCCGGTGATCCAGCTGCCCATTGACGTCGGAAGCTTCGCCAAAGGCTACGCGGAGAACAAGGAACTGACGGATCTGATGGTGGAGAGTTTCGTAGCCGTTACATGCGCCTCGCCCACCATCTACAGCACCACCGCCGACAAGGTTCCATCGCCCACGCTGTCGGCGGGCAGCGTCCACAGCGTGCACAGCGTCCACAGCGCCCAGGGTCTACGAACCAGGCAAGACGGCTATTTCGGCAGCGCGGCCCGACTGAACCTAGAATTCCAAGAGAGTAGAACACCGCCGAGCCCGTCGCCCAGTTCGCCGCCCCCGCCAGCCCCCCAGGACTCCGCGGAGACCTTCCTGATGCCAGGCACCGAGCAGAGAGAGGCGGACGCCAAGACCTCCCAGAGCCCCACGTTCCTCAGGAACGCGGAGAAGCTCGTGTCCCTGGAACAGGGTCGCCTGAGCCCGCGTACCCCCCACTCCCCCAAGTCGCCACGAGTCTCGCCTAAGCACGCTGCCAAACCTAGCTGCGTGGCGAACATAGTCGCGGCCAAGTCCGATTCCGGCCTATCGTCCATGAGCGGATGGAGCAGCCTGGATAAGTCGCCCAGTTCCCCGAAGAGCTCGCTGGCCAAGATGCTCACGTCCTACTCGGTGGACCATGCCAGGACCAGCCTGATCCCGAGCACAACGTCCATCAGATCCAACAGCCCAATACCGCCCCTGCCGGAAACCACCGTCGCGGTGATCACGCAGGAACCGTTGTACGACACTCCAGAGGGCAGAGACGCGTTCGCCAGCGTCAACGCCGCGGTCACCAGCCACTCGTTCGCCGCGACCATGAACCATCTGTCGTCATACACGTCCATGAAGTCGCCTACCACCAAGGAAGACTACAACTTTGTGCCCCCGCCAGCGCCCATCGCGACGACCTGCCAGAGCCCCAAGAAACGAAGTCGTCAGCAGACGTTGCAGCACACCTACGACACGGTGGCGCCTGGTTGCACATTGGATTACGTCTACAGGGCGGACCAACCGGCCATTTACTCCGTGGCTGGTAGTAATCGACAGCACGCCATTACCAGCGTGTACACCAGCGGCTCTGGGACCTACGGTCCGAAAGCCACGACCACGGTTTATTATTCAAACTCCATGGATCAATACAATATCTACGAGGACGACTTCAATCTTGTACAATACACGGAATCTGGCGGAGTGACTCACATCAAGAAACCCGTCAGGGCTGCCGCGTTCTCGATGTTCCCCACAGGGAACATCACCGATGCTTTATCTTATTACCCAACGAACGCGAACTTGCCGCGAACAGAAACGAAGGAGAGCTCGTGGCTGAACTCGATGGAGGATCAGATTCCTCACGACTCGACGTCCTCCAGTATCAGATCGTTGACTTCGGACGGCAGCTATGCTCAAAGTCCCTACACGGACAGAAGGTACCCTCAGCCGCCTTCCTACCAGAGTCACCAGTACCACCACACTTACGTGAACCAGAGCTACCCGCAGACCTACCAGCAACAGTACCAACCATACAGTCAGAGGCTGAGCAGCACCGAGAGCGCGCAACTCACCGATGGCTACCAACGACAGTGGCAACAGGAGCACCAGTACATGCAAAACCATGAAAGCGGAGGGGTGCCCATAGAACAATCCCAGCACCAACAAGGCGAATACTACGATGCTTCTAGTGTGATAGTGTCCCAATCGGGATACATCAGCATCGCTTCGAACCTGAAGGACCACGAGGCGGAGAACACCAAGGTGCAGAAGAAGATCAGAAGAGGCTCGTCGTTGAAGAACGCGATGAGCTCTATGAGCAACTGGCTGCCCGACTTGCACCTCAGCAAAAGGCACAGGAGTCACTCGTTGCCCGGAGGGGTGAGACGGGAGGACCTCGATCAGCCTCAGGATCAGCAACAGAGGGCTGCCGCGGAGGCTACGGCGGCCAGAGGTCGAGGTAGAAGCCAAACACCCAGGAAGAAGAAGAAACACACCCTCGTCTCTACCGTGTCGGGGATCCTCCAGAAAGCCAAGAGACGTAGCCATCAGTCCCAGTCACTCTCCGATCCCGAGCAATCCGAGACAGAGTGGAGCAGCGGCAGACAGAGCGGCCTCTCGGAGGACGAGGACAGCGTGATGTCTGACGCGAACCAGGACCAGCCTCTGTTCGCCAAAGTGAAGACAGCCAGCACGAAACGCAGGGTGGTGTCTATCCCGATTCCCTTAGAGCCTCACGAGATGCAACAGATGCCGCAGCAGCAGCTCGAGTACATGCAACAGCAACAGAACCTGCAGCAACAGCAGCAGGCCCTTCAGCAACAGATCCAACAGCACCAGGAGCAACTGCAGCAGCAAGTCCTTCAGGACGGTTGGGGCAAAGAGAAGGATCAGAGGAAGGACATGCTGGTGGATCACGATATAGGCGATCAGATTTGTGGATTCGAGGAGGAAACGTCGGGAAAGAGCACTGGTTCTGGATCTGGAGGTTCGTCCATATTCCAAACCGTCGGCGACATCAAACGATCGACGGGTAGTTCCGACGAGGCGCCCAACGAGAAAGCCCCGAAGCTGCCTCCCGTGACGCTGATGGCTGGCACTAGCATGGAGTTCGCGGTGTCCAGGGCTCTGGGCAAGTATCGACAGAGACAGTCCTCGACGGTGTCCGACGAACAGCCGCCCAGCGAGGATTCCAACAACGACAAGAAATCCGAGGACGGGACCGTGCAGACCCTGGAGACGAGCTTCGAATACCCGGAGGACATGTCCGAGAAGAGCGAGAAGAGCGAAAAGTCGAGCAGCACCAGATTGCCGGAATTGGTGACCAGCATATCGGAGGAAGCGCCGCCGTCGGAAGGTAGCCCGTCCGCGTCGAGCACGAGGGGTCAAACGTCGGGCAGCCGATTCATGCCACGTCACCAGCAATCCCTCGAGATTCCGTGGACGGGGTCGCGACCCAGCGAGTTGGACGAGGACAACCGGAGCACGCATTCCTATCGTAGCACGTCCAGGGTATCGTCCAGGCGACAGAGCACCGAGGATTCGATTGATTCCGAGGACGAGTGGTACCGGTACGAGCTGAGGAAGCTCGAGGGGCTGGAGATGCAGTCACAGACGGAGGTGGAGATGGAGGTGCCGGCTGAAGGGTCGGAGGAGGCCGAGCACTATCAGCCGGACGACACGGTCAAGGAGAAGATGTCGTTCGTGCTGAAGGAGCTGAAGATGAAGGCTACCACGAAGACCAAGGAGCCGCCGAAGGAGGAGCGGGAGGAAGCGAGGATGCTAAAGGTGAACGGAACGGTGACCAAGGATCGTCGAGTCGAGGAGAGAGACAAGTACGAGAAGCCTATACCGAAGCGGAAGTCCGCGGAGAGCATCGAGGCGGTGTTCGCGAGGGTGACGGATTACCACACCTGGGTGAACGAGGAGGAAGCCAAGAAGGAGAAGCCGCCCTCGTCGGTGGAGGAGGGCTCGTCGGGCGAGACCTCGGGCCCCGACAGCCCCGTGCAGTCGATGGACGAGGAGGAAGAGGAGGAGCTGCCCAAGGATCTCGAAGAGGAACAGTCGAGGCGCAGTTCGAGTGGCTCGAACCTCCGTCACGGCGAGAAAATTCATCCGGGATCGGAGTCCCTTTCTCGCGAAGGTAGCGTAAGTGTACCACCTAGCGAGGTGTCCGTCAGCATCCCGGGTGCTTGGGATTCAGAGAGCACTGTCCTTGAAGGCCTCGAGCGCGACGGAGCCGGCAGCGCCGAGACAGCCACCACGGCGACCTTGAGCCTACCGAAAATAAAAATCGATTCCTCGTCCTGCGGTAGCTCCGACACTACACTGAAGGAGGGCCAGGTGAGTCCTGGTCCGCCTGGATCGAAGTGGAAGCTACTGAAAGCGTTAAAGGAACGCAAGGCCGAGGAGAAGCTCAAGGAGGTCGAGGAGGCCTCTAAGGAGACTGCTATTCCCCAGGGACCCACAGCAGTGAGTATCATGATAAAGTGAGGACACGAAAACCTTTGTAAGGCGTACTCGAGATTCGGGGGTTGGGTGAAATTCTAGATCTGTATGCTCACCGACGGGGCTAATACTTCCGGGACGCGATCACTGTCGCGTCCGAGTTGTATTAGCTTCGTGGGGCATTCGTGCAGGTAACTGTATAGAATGTTCTTAAATATTGAGGATATTTCGTCGGGATCGATCATCATCTGCAATCAGTCACGGTATATAGTAACGATTCTTTAAATGAACGCCTCTCCAGAGTCACGAAATTTTACATCGGCAGACACTTGTACGCATCAGTGGCTCGAACGGGGGTTAGGAACGTTCAATTTAAAGAATCATTGCCCAGCTCTTAGTATCTCCCTTTTCTACGAGTTCCACCAGGTTTTCTACGAGTCATAATTTCTGTTTCGACCAACCCAGACATACGTAACCTTTACATGCACACGTCCACGAACGTCGATTTTTCTATACGGTAACGATCCTAAAGTCCTCGATATTGACACACTTGAGTGCTAGGCGACGGGACGAGCGAGTTCAAAGACGCAAATTAAAAGACTAATTGAAGATTAAAATCTCGAAACTGGAAGATCGTCCAGGAACTCGCTTCGCGGATTGATGCACCCTTCGCCTAACGCTTTGTCAACGATTTAACAATACCGTTTGATACCACGGTAGACTTTATTTACCGTCGACCATGTGATTCGTTTACGCCAGCGAGTATCGAGTACGCTGAACGCGAATGAACTTGTAAATCGAGGAAACCTACGAATTTAAGGATATATCGCGCCCGAGGCGTGAATATCCGTGCCAGCGCGTGGCACGCGCAACCAGTCAATACTAAACGTACGATAGGAGGCGGAAGTGAAGCTTTGCGATTAATTCACGCGGAATTACGTCGTCCGTCCATCGTTGGACGCGAAGAGATCGAAACACGTATACCGATGGTACTAGTCAATTCAACAAGTGCAGCGTCACCGACGCTCGGCCAAGCAATATACACGTAAGCGGGTGGGTTGTGAGAATGGACGATCGAGCATCGATCGGTGATCGGGATCGACGACGATCGATTTCGAGAACCGGTAGGATAAATTCTACGCGACGAACCGTAGCGCAGCTAGTAAACGAGGCTTATCTGGTCACTAGACCCTAGGATTAATTAGACGGTGCTTTAATAATCGATACGCTTTAAGGGTAGTATTATTAGACGCTGCGTGCCTGCGCGGTCTGAGAAACTAATTCGCCGAGGATAGTATTATTTGGTCAATTAACGTTTCTGAAACGCGTGGCGTGAGAGACGTTCAGTGTAACGCGTCGATTTACGTTTTCTCTGTGGCTTTCCTGTCGATTAAGGACAAGAGCGTCGAGTACGATACGCTCGAGTCGTTTAACGAACGTACAATTAATCGTTGGTCGGATTAAACTATGTAGTTAAGGAGAATTCGCTTCCCAAATGAAATTTGGCGGCGAATACGAGTCGCGTCGCGGTTCTGGCCGTCGAAGACGTCCGAACAAGTAGCCTAACTTTAGCGTAAACGTAGAGTTAAGAGAGAGAAACACGTTCATCTTTCGCTCGATCGCACACCTTCGAACATAGGGGGTAAATTTTAAGCAGACATCTTCCGAATTACCGAATCACTCGAATCCTCGCGCTCTACGCGAAACGCACAAATCGCGCAACACTTGATACGGTCAACGGCTTGAGGAAGATAGAGAGAAACGAACACGAGGTAAAGTTGAAGAGAAACAAATCGCGCAGGCACAGCTGAGGATCTCGTTCATCGTGCGCGTCGAATTATATCGCTCGCGGCACTCGGAGGAACCGAAGACACAAGAGTCGAAGCACAGGTTCGACGATCGTTGGTTATTCTCCTGGACAGCGTTAAGAACACGTTACAGCCGGGAACACGATGACATTTATCCGAGGAATGATGGATTCTCGGATCGTGGTACACGATTCCGTTTCGCGCTCGACCGTTCATCGATCGCTCGAAATCGGTGGGAACAACCATTGGCATAATTGCAATCTCACGAATTTAGGTGACTTGCGGCCGACAGAAACTGGTTCTACAGTCCGATGACATTCTAATTTACGCGCTGAATTTCGTACGTATCGATCGTTCTGCAAAATTTTGTAATCGCGAGTGTCGAGGGGCTCAATTTAAATCGTGACGTGTATGGGAGAGTTTTCGGTAGGGGTCCGTTGTCGTGATATACTTCTTTGCTTTTCAATTCTAATTAGCTAAGAAAGAATTTTCTTTGAACTTCGGGGTAGCATTGAAGCTGATTCACATTTAAGCAATGTTATAATTTTGTTAATTTTTACAACAGAAATTATTCCCTGGATATTTGCACGAATTAATACCGAAACTAAGCAATGGGTAGCTAAACCTACTGCTGGATATTCCCAAAGAAAATATCACATGCAAATTCCACAAACTTTCCTCGCTGAATACGACCGAGATTATTTTTAGTTCGCGTTACGCAATAGAAGGTTAAAACTACGAACAAGGAATACTAAAATTTACATAGGCTTAACCATTCGAGTAAGGTAATCCCGATTCCATATTTTACTATTTTAACCTCTTAAGCGTGCGTCGAGAAAACTGACGTTCTTGTTTATTTTACGTTTCTATTGGATTAAAGAAAAATCTCGACTATGAATATGCAGTAGCACTTATGCAGTATATTCCTGTCCAGACCTCGCTCACTCAGAACTAGTATTATTTTAATTCCATCGATGCTACCTCGAATATAAAAGAAAATTTATTTGTTGGTCCATTTACTGCATACGATACAATTTTGTCAATTTAAATAACAATCGTGTTCGTACTGCTGCTCTACGACTCGAACATACGTAACATACAGTACTGCCTCGCTTCTTGCATCCATCAAGAGTACGGATACTTGCAACAGAATCACTCTCATTCTTCACCTGAATCGAACAATCAGAAACAGTACAATTAAACAGTATACACATCGAGAATTCGTTTTATATTATAGAGGACTAGTAAGTTTAAGTCAATCTTCTACAAAAAATTATAAATACTAATAATTAAAATTGCAATTTGTGTCATCATAAACGAAAATTTTATTACCGAAATCGACCATTTCATAAAGTTTCGTCCCCCCTTTTGCAAGAAGGGACGCAGTGCCGTAAATTCACGACCATGGCCCCTCGAACAAGTATCGTACGCATTTTTCCGATTTGCTTCTCGGGCGTAATTAAGCACGACTACTCGGCGACAGAACGACGCGCGACTGAAAATCAGCCGCGATATAATTACACGGTTCGTAACGCGTCAAGTGCGGAGCGGTTTTCAGGGTGGGCCTCCTGGTCGCGTGTTACGCCTGCACATTACGGCGTAATATATTCCGTTCCGTCGAGCGCGAAAACGCGAAAGTCGATACCGCGCGTGGAACCACGTGACGCGGTTATTACGCGGACAATGCGTTCCCCGCGTTACGCGGCTCTTTCCGTTTGTAATCTCCTACGCAGCGAGGTAAACGACGAAAGAGTGGAAAAAAGCGCACGACAATTCTGGTCTAACGCTTTCCCGTCGCGATTAATTCAACGACGCACAACGAGCGGATCCCCGCGGGACGCCGCGCGCAATCGACGATCCGAGGCGCGAATCGTTTAAATATTTTCCTTTTCTCCCCTCCCTTCGCTTTCACATTTCGTTTCACAACTCGTTTTCCCCGTAACAGCTGCAAGTAGATATCGACGAAGTTACGCGAACAACGGAGAACGATGGGACTAACGATTGTTGCCGTGCATTGTAGTATTGGTAACCGGTGTACAACTATATTAGCTGATTAGTGTAATAGAGAGTAGACGATGCATGGACGACGCGAGTCGCGTGCACCATCCTGGAGCTCCTTTATCAGTAACGCGATATTTCGAACAATAATTTTCGCTGCCACTTTGAAAGGGATCGTAAAATAATTCCTCATTCTGCGTTTCATTTTTGTCTGTGAACATCCTCTGGGATGCGTACGCGCGACGACGCGACAAGATATTCCTCGTGCTGGTTGTCGGTCGTGCATACCGTTTCTAGATCTCGAAACGATCGATCGCGTTCCGTGCACCGATAACCGGTCGGCGTAACGCGATACCGCAATAGTTCCATAATCAAACGAACGAACCACAGGCGCAGACACACGCACAACACACACTGACACAAGAGCGTTCCGGAGAGTCGAGGGGAATGTCGGATTCGGCGGTCGGAACGTTACGGAAAATGTTATTGCAAAATTGGATATTAACAAGAATAGTACAGAAACGTGCGTTTCCATGCAATAGTGCCTCGATTATTGCACGAATGTCTGGTCCGTCGCTTGGCAAAAAGTGAAATTGAAAAGGGAAGGATACTGTAATCGACTCTTTCTCGTCGAATCGGTTGCCATAATTACTGTGTGACTTTTTCTATGATAATCGAAGTTCTACCGTATTAAAATGCATAAACTCTGCGGTCTACTTGTGATCAATGGCGCTATTTACATGGGAACGCAATTTAGGGGGAAAGAAGTGTCTATTGGTTCACGAACGTCGCCTAGGGACATTCTTTATGACTCTCCGCAGTATTCGCGCACAAGAACGACTACAGACGTACACGAGCGCGCCATCGTACACACGTCCAAAGTATATGCTTCCGTATCTAAAGACTTCGCGGGCGTTGTAATGCTCTGATTAGGCTAGGCAATCAATTATCGTGCGTAACTTCGATGTTAGTGGTAGGGAAGCCCGTGATGTACCTGCTCGCAGTCTGAGAAACGGGTTTCGGGCTAAGGGCTTGCTCCGACTATCGTTCATTTCCTAAAAATGGTCGTCGTGTTCGAAGATTCCTCGATCAGAGACGACCAAAGCTTTTATCTGGTTTAAAATATCGAATAATTGGCTTTGAGAATTCATTCATTTTGATTCCTCTTCTGTGAGAGCGGAATGCTTAATTTTATTAACCCAGATTTATCGTTTAGTC